CAAAACCTCATCACCTAAGTGCCCTTTCTATGAGAGGTGGACGTCTGGTTCCTATCACCACCACTGTGAACAATTCTGACTTTTTCTAGAACTGAGCGTATCACACCAAACCACTCTGAATAACTTTTAAAATTGTTTTGAAATTGGTGGAGTTCCCCTTTAAGATGGTGTAAGGGACTCTACAGAGGGGAATGATGAGGTGAAGCTGATGAGCACTTGTTAAAAACAGTATTAAAGGCTGTAGACTGCTCTGAACAGCCACTGCACATACCAGTACAGCGCTGAGCTGGTTCTCACCTGGAGGAACGTTACAGGTGCAGGATCCTTCACTGAGGTGAATGGTCTTGATCACAGTGAAGCTGGTACTGATGTTTTTGGGTCAAATCCTGCTTATTAATCTGAAGCGAACTCCCCGCTTTTACCCAGAATAACACCAACCCCTCTCCTTCACAAAACACAGCACTGAAAACACAGTAAAAGTGTGAAATGGTTCTGCCAAAAACTGCACAAGACATGCAAAGACATGTTTACTTCTTAAGTTTTGCACTGGAGGTAGGTTTTCTCAAACAGTGTTGAGTTGTTAAAGGGAAATCCCATCACCTTTTCAAAATTTCTGCATAATTTATTCAGTGTTTGACATGTAAAAAGAGTCACTCAGAGTGGTTTGCTTGATTGTAGAGAGTCAGATTTCTTTACAGTGGTGGTGATAGGAACCAGGGGTCGCCATGACTACAACACAAATACAGACATTTTATTTACTATCCAGAACCACCAGTGAACCTACATGAGTCTTCTTAGTTTAATATACAATATTGATGATGGTATTAAATAATAAGTTTTCTTTCGAGTCTGTTTTATCTCATAACACCCTGCATACTATGTATCCCTCCTCTACAAATAAATAGATTTGAATTATATGCATGTTTTAGGCCAAACACCTTCTCAAAACTATTATAAAACAGTGTCTCAGTCATCAGGCAGTGAATTCATAACCATTTTATGTAGTAACTGTAGTTCTGTGAGGGAGCTTTTAACATCTTAACCGTTTAATTATGCAGAAATTGAGATATTTTGTGGAATTGCCCTTTAATTAAGTTGCATTATTTAGTGAGCTACTGCAGTCAGTTTTAGTATAAACAGTGTAAACAATGTGGTGAGTGATACCTGACTGCATGGTATCTCTGGACACCTAAACCACTTGTTTTCGGACAGATTGTAGAGGGGGGTCTGTCCAAACACCTGGTGAGAGGAGTGAGAGGATTACAGAGGATTGCAGACGAAGTGAAAGACATGAACAAGCGCTAAGCTGCTCTTTAACAGCAATGAGGAGCCCTTCACTTACAGGCAGACTGAGGAACGTGGTGGAGAATCAACAAACACTTCATCATCTCTCAGCAGATCTGAGAGCTCTTTCTCAACTGAGGACTGATTGGATAAAGCAGATCAAGTTAACTCCAGCATGATTAGACGGCCACGTTGATAGCAGTGATGAGCTAACAGAGCAAACAGAGGAGGAGGCTGATCTGTATGCAAATGCACTGAGAGGTCCACTCACTGTGTGTGTGTGTGTGTGTGTGTGTGTGTGTGTGTGTGTGTGGTACAGTATTCAAGAGTAAAAAATGCTAAACGCTTTATTGAATGAATCAAGAAGTGAATATACATTTCAAGGTCTTTTTTAAAAACAAAAAAATAATAGAACTTCTTTTCAAAAATTTACATTTGTGTATTTGGGTCATTCTACAGAATGTTTGTGTTCCTAGCGTTTACAGATATATTACACTTAAAAACATGTTAGGGTTACAATTTATTTATATTTTTAAATAAAACAATAAGTTATTTAAACAATTGCACCTTCTTGAGCCTCAATTTAGCAAATTAATCATATAGAATTCAAAGCACCACAGAAGAGCTCGTCCTCAGTCATGTGTGAAGGCTGAGGCCATATTTTGAGGTAAAAAAACATGTTTTTCTGCAATTTTGACTACAATAATCTATACATGACTATGGAATATATAAATTAAGTGACATAAAGAAAACAAATAAATATTATAAAATATATAATGAAAGTTGAGGTCCCCAGGAGTCGTATCACTGGTGTTACTGCGTAACAAAAATTCTCTTATTTTGAAATAAAAGTCACACTGATGACATCACTCGACTTCCATTTATCTATTTTCTGAGGATCTATGAAGAAAAGCACATGTTGAGTCCACTGTGTCTTTCAGTTATCAGAGATTTTCTCATTTAGCTCATGATTTCATATGAAGCTTTTAGCTGAAGTCACTGGTGTGACCGACTTTATTCTTAGATAATTGTGAAAAAATAGAATACAAATGGATTAAATTACATATTTTGGTGGATTTTCCATGATTGACAACATGTGGTTTGATGCTCTGTAGTCATTTTGTAAAATGCATTGTTCATTAAAAATGTCTGGTGTTTCCTTTATTATGTGGAACACCAATGAGGATCAGTTACACCAGTGACTCCTATGGAGGGATAGAAAAGTGTACATTTCTGTAGAATGACCCTTATAGAATTTTGCTAAATATAACAGTAAATTCACAATATAGTTTTTTATCATCTCCAGTGGATACGCCAAAAAAAAAAAGTCACAAGAAACTTCATTTATATACATTTATATACATGTATTTATAAACAACCTGGTTTCCAAAGAAGTTGGAGTGCTGTGCAAAATGTAAATGATAACAGAATGTACTGATGTGCGAATATAAACCCCATAATTCAAAGAAAATACTACAAAGACAACATATCAAATGTTGGAACTGAGATATTTTAGTGTTTTTAAAAAATAGATGTCCATTTTGAATTTGATGCCAAATGTCTCGGTTATCAGATGTTCTGGGACTGATTGTAGATGCATATGATGGTTTCCTAAAGGAATTTAAAAACAGCCTACTGGAAACTAGTGGTCTTTAATGGCAACCTTTAAGCCAATTCCTATTAGAAAACAAAACAATCAGGATTTAATCCTAACGGTTCTAAAGGTCTTTTTTTTTCAACAGGGTAGTTTGCTAATTGTTATGCTTTATGGAACAAGAACGTGGGCCCATTGTTCTGCTATGTGCTGGAGAATGTGCTGTAAATGGTTCTATACAGCACCAAAAAGAGTTATTCTATTATTACAACACTCTTAAAAATAAATAATCTTCAAGGATCCTTTAGTAAAGAAAATGTTTGTATATAGATTGTATATATTTTAATATTTACATGCTTAGATGATTCTTTGCACCGTGAATAGGTTCTTCAGATTGGAGACTGTGCTGTGTACGGTTCTCTGTAGCATCTTTTTCAAAATGGTTCTATATAGCACCAAAAAGTGTTCTTCGATTGTTACAGAATTGACATCATAACAATAGAACAACACTTCAGGGTGCTAAATAGAACCATTTTCAAAAAGGTTCTATATAGAACCATCAACAGCACGCTTTCATGATGCAAAGAACACTTTAATCATGCAAAGGGTTCTGGTTACATATAGAACCATTTTCTTTACTTAAGAACCACTGAAGTATCATATTTTTTAAGTGTGAAGCTTGACATCATAACAATAGCAGAACCCTTTTTGGGGCTAAATAGAACCATTTACAGCACATTCTCCATCAATCTGAAGAACCATTTCACCATGTAGAGAACCCTTAAATCACGCAAATTGTTATTTGAGTATATAGAACCATTTTCTTTACTAAAGAACCCTTGAAGAACATTTTTTAAAGAAGGTACTGTAGTCAGTGCATATATGCACTTTAAACCTGTTGAAATGTACATATTTTATAAACATGTTTACAGTTATATGTATATTTGCTGCTCGGTTCTCGGAGCTGTTCTGTCTATATGTTCTTCAGTACCTCAGTGCCTGACTGTAGCTGTACTGTCTCACACTGCACCTCCTGTATATTATTGTCAGTTTGTTTGTGTACTGTCTGTTTTATGTTTATATGTTGAATATATTTTTATTTATGTATTTTATTAGATGTAATTTCATGTTGACACCTGCACCAAGAGAAGTTCCTTGTACCCCTGGTGTTTGTCGAATAAAGATTATGATTCTGAAAACCACAAACAAACAAAAACAAAGGAATCCATTTTCTTGGAGGCGCTGCTGAAGCTTTATGAACATTGTTTTTGGATTATTTGAGGTTTTTCACCACGAATCTGCCGGCAGGGGGCGCCCACTCATCACTTTAGTGCACCGGTGTACTTGTTTTTAATGAATAGAAACGTTTTGTGTACCTAACCTGACAGCAAACAGCATTCTGAATATATTTGCGGTGTCTGTGGATGATAATATTAATAATAATAATAATAATAATAATAATAATAATAATAATAATAATGACATTTTTCTTACGTTTCCCTTATTAAGTAACATTTTCTCGCTATATTGGCAGATGATTAAAAAAATGTGCTTGAAATTTGAAAGCAAAAGTATCTGCCAATTATACTGAGATAACTGTACTTAAAATTATTAAAACAAGTAAAAACATATAGAAATATGTTTAATGCCCTTATATATATATAAGCTTAGAACGATCTTAAAATTAGAAATAATATTTATTTTATTTAGATTTGATATTTTCCTCTGTTAAGATATACATTTTGCAATGTATACATACGTTTTATTTATTTATTTATTTATTTATTTATTTATTTATTTATTTATATGCGCTCGAACGCAGAACCACAGGGTGGCGCTCGAGAGGCACTTTATTTGCACGTATGATTTAATTTCACTCAATTCGTGTTTATAATTCCCCCTCTGTAACTTTCACGGCTGTTTCATCTGCTTCTGTTTTTTCCTGTATTGTTCACTGAAGCTACGCTCCGTCTTTCTATGAGGCTGGACGGGGCGTTCACTTCGCCGTTTCACCAGCCAATGGGCTTTGAGCATCCTTGCGTCAATCAAACAGCGGTGCCGCCCTCTGACCAATCAGAGCGCAGCAGGTTCGCACAGCCTCGATATAAATCCGGGAGAAGACCGGGGAACCTGCTCAGAGGATGAGAGACAAGCAGACCGTGAACAGACAGAGAGCTTTCTGGACCGGTCCGTCCTCCTTCGCCTGTTTTAGTGTTCTGTGGTGTCCAGGTAGGCTGTCCGAGTCATATTACTTTAATTCTTATTAGCGGGCCAGTTAGCCTCGCTTCTGCCTAGACTTGTTTTCCTTTGTGTGCGGTTAATATCTCAGTGCTGTTTTGTGCTCATCTTTAGCTCTTTTCCATGTGATCTGATGATTTTATTTGTTTATGCTGCATCGTCACCTGTTTGACGAGGCTGACGTTAGACTCGTTTTCACCTGCTTCATATGGGAACTTCCCGTTCCACCTTAAATGGTGCAGCAGCTACATTGTGGCGACTCACTCGAATGTAGCTGCTGCACCATTTAAGGTGGAACGGGAAGTTCCAAAAAGAAGCAGGCGAACAGAAAGCCAACTTAAGCTTTGGACTTTAGTGATGCAATAGGAGCTCGTAATGCTGCAAGCTGCATTACAATGCACAATGCATGCTTTGTGGTGTTGCATGGGGTAGATTTTAGAAGAAACCCCCCCTGTGGCGCGTGAGTGGGGGTCGATTTTTACTCATAACACGTGGAGTTGCATGCACTTGGCAGAACAAGGTTGAATCCACTAGCTATGTGGTGCACAACTGGTGCCTACAGCCTGCAGCATCATCTCAAATACTCCTGAGCTCCTGTAAGTGACCGCTTGTTTACCTTCTCCTTTGTTTAGGTGTTTTATAGTAATAAGCATGGCGACCTCGTCCAGCGCACAGTTGAGTAAACTGGTCAAGCGCCAGTATATGGAGCTTCCACAAGGAGAAAAGGTGCAGGCCATGTACATCTGGATAGATGGGACTGGAGAGGCACTGAGATGCAAGACCAGAACGCTGGACTCTGAGCCTAAAAGCGTTGAAGGTATGTTTTTTTTGAAGATTTTAAAGGCATATATATCCACAATGAGCTGTGAAGTGTTGTAAATTCTGCTTTTATTGGCTAATTTATAACCTATCTTTGCTATTTAGATCTCCCTGAGTGGAATTTTGATGGTTCCAGCACCTACCAGTCTGAAGGCTCCAACAGCGACATGTATCTGGTTCCTTGTGCCATGTTCAGGGACCCTTTCCGCAAAGACCCCAACAAGCTAGTCCTGTGTGAGGTGCTGAAGTATAACCGCAAGCCTACTGGTAAATATGAGAATGCATTTATATTTGATCGTTCATTTGGTTTGGAGAATGTTCTCAACATGTTCCTGCCCTCTCATTGAACCCACAAGAATATAGTTGATTTTTGTTGTTGTGTAAAGGTTTGCTAGTTGGGTTTAAGTTCCTGTTCATGTTCTCCTTGGTTCTAGAAACCAACCATCGTATCACCTGCAAGAAGATCATGCAGATGGTGGAGGAGCAAAGCCCTTGGTTTGGAATGGAGCAGGAGTACACCATCTTGGGCACAGATGGACACCCCTTTGGATGGCCCTCCAATGGCTTTCCTGGACCACAAGGTAAGAATCTCATGTATATTTTCACATGTTCCTTATTAGCATGTTTGTATATTCATATTGGCTACACAAGATATTAACATACAACAGCTTTGTTGGGCAAAATAATAGTGCAAGCCAGTCTGAATTCAGCTCACATTGACTCAAAGTGCATTGAAATTGCAGTATATAGCAATATAAGTGGTATCTTGTCCAAATCATGCTGTGTATCTCTGTGTTGACGTTAGCAGTGCTAACAGTATGTCACTCCCTCCTTTCAGGACCCTACTACTGTGGAGTTGGGGCAGATAAGGCCTATGGCAGAGATATTGTTGAAGCCCACTATAGAGCCTGCCTGTACGCTGGGGTGAAGATTTGTGGCACGAATGCTGAAGTCATGCCTGCTCAGGTACAGATACTTGGCTGGGAACCCTACAGTAAAGCTTAATCCAGCTAAGGGAACAGCTGCGGTACTTTAACTGACCCTAATTCTTGCCTGAGTTCAGCACTTATGTGGCTTTGTTTCTGTCTTCCAGTGGGAGTTCCAGGTGGGCCCTTGTGAAGGCATTGAAATGGGAGATCACCTGTGGGCAGCTCGCTTCATTCTGCACAGAGTCTGCGAAGACTTCGGTGTGGTGGCCTCGTTTGACCCCAAGCCCATCCCTGGCAACTGGAACGGCGCCGGCTGCCACACTAACTTTAGCACTAAGGAGATGCGGGAAGAAGGCGGACTGAAGTAAGTAGACTTTACAGTAGTGGATGCTCAGTGTGTTGGTCATTAGGGAGGGGTCATGATCATGTAAATGCATAGCTTTTTGGAAAGTTAACGTCTCCAAAGTGTGCACTCATTTCTTTTTGGCAAAAATAACATTCTTGGGCTAATTTGCAGCAAATCCCCCCAAAAATCTAGACGGATTTTTAAATATCTATATTGTAGTGCTTTTAAAGTTGCATTTTTGATTAATTTTTAAATTCTTAATCAAAACAGTTGTGGTTTTTTATTTATATATATCTTCGTCATGTAAATTGTTTCCAAAAAAATTTTCATGTAATTGTGGCATTGGAGTAACATTTTGTCATCTTTCAACAGATACATTGAGGAGTCCATTGAGCGGCTTGGAAAGAGGCACAATTATCACATCCGGGCCTATGACCCTAAAGGTGGGCTGGACAACGCTCGCCGTCTCACCGGCCACCACGAGACCTCCAACATCCACGAGTTTTCCGCCGGCGTGGCTAACCGTGGTGCTAGCATCCGCATCCCTCGCTCTGTGGGCCAAGAGAAAAAGGGGTACTTCGAGGATCGCCGTCCATCCGCCAACTGCGACCCATACGCTGTCACTCAGGCGCTAATACGCACGTGTCTGCTTAACGAAGAAGGAGACGAACCTGTGGACTATTAGATCTCTCACTCTCTCACGATCTTTCACATTCTCTGTTCTGGACTGAACCCCCACCTTTCCACCCCTTTCCTTTCCCTTTTTAAACTGGCTGTGAGGCCAGATTAGTACTGTATGTTTTCTCTCATCAGAATGGCTCTAACTGCATTTTAAATAGTTTTTAAGAAGTTGGCTGGTCAACTTAACATTTTAGGATAAAACTTGATGTTAACTGGGGACGTGATGTTGCAGGGCATATCTGACCCTTCTTCTGTCTCTTCTTTCTGTTGTGCTCTGTGGAGTGGATGGTTTAACATTTTGGCGTTAACCCCTGTTTCGACATAAACGCCCTTGTTAATGTTTTTAAAAATGGACTAAAATGACAAATGGACACTATGAACACTAGAGCTGCTATGACTCGGCAACACATGTAATTTTCCTTAACTTGTAGCCACTTTTCTCTACTCATGTATGTTTGCTTAATGTTCCAGCTATGTAATGTTTCATTGTTACTAACTAAATAGAAGCTGTTTTTTTTTCGAATTATGTTGTCTGTTCTGAACTTTGCTGGTTCTTTATTGTACGGTACATGCTCTACAGTGAGGGTCCAAAAATTGTCCTGCTTACTACACGTTGGTCTATTGTATACCACTTGTTTTTAAAAAAAGACTCATCAAGGATTTTGATCCATTGTCTACTGTTATGGCATCTGTTTTGGTAAAATCCTGAAGTTGCTGAACCTGGTGTTTTTTATTGAGACATTTTAAACATTATTTTTACCACAAATTCTTTGACTGGGTGTGTTTCTTCTCAAGTAAAAGTTCACTACTGTTTAATTTCTATGATTAAAAAAAACTCTTGGCTGGCCAGCTTAACGTTTGATTCAGTTCTTCCATATTATAGCCATTGTCAGTGCTGGCTAGTCTTAAATGTTGTTGGACATTAGCTAGTCATTAGTACCACAGGTAAAAGGAGTTGCTGATGCTTGGTGGTTAGCCTTAAATCAAATGCATTTTGCCTTTTCCTGGAATGTTTTTGAGTGCAGACTATCCATTTTCCACATTGGCTAGTTTCAGTGTAGCTGGAAAAATGTCTAAATCCATGTATATTCTCAGTATTGTAGGCAGAAGCCCACTTACTAATATTTGCTGATCAATGTTGAGTCAATTGTGACTTTCTCTTGCTTAGACTGTAGTCTTAATTTAGGCTTAATGCAGTAGTGGTCATTGTGAGATTTAGCCTGAAGGAATTTAGCCTTTATTTATGTATATATATTTTTAAATGGTTTATTCTTTATAGCTTTAGCATGTGGCCTACTGAAGATGAGTCACTGCTATAATCAATACTTTTAAGCTTTAAACTACTTGACTATCTCAAGTTGACAGTTTATGGCTTCCGTACTTCATTTCTTGCAATAATCTTTTTGGCACCAGTATTTTAAGCTTCCCAGACAGCTACTCATGTTTAACAAGAAACTGGTTGTGTGCTTGAAAGCTTATCAGGTTGAATTTCTCAATGCTAATCCAATCGCACACCTAGCAGTAAACTAGCATGCTGCTATCACGCTGTTGATGCATGCCAATAGTCACCCTTGAGACTGTTGGCTTAACCCCATTGAACCTTTTTGAAAATGGTTAGCACTAGAGAGGGTTCTGCCATTGTCATGTCAAACGTAACAATACAAAAACGCCTTCTGGTGCTGTACAGAACCATATACAACACACTAATCAATCTGAAGAACAATTTAAGCTTGCAAATGGTTCTTTGAGTGTTTATTGTTCTATAGATAACTGTCTTTACTAAAGAACCATCTTTTTTTTAAGAACATAGCCTTGAACTAATAAAGTTGAGCACCACAATTGACTCATTGTGTTCAGGCCTAGATTAAAAAGGAATGTTTTATCCCGTTAATGACATCAGGCCAGACAGCATGATAGCCTTATCTGCTACATAGCTACTAATAGCTTTGATTTGCTCTCAGCAAGATTAGCTTCTTTGATTGTGGCATTCCCTTAACGTGAAAACCACAACTTTGACCCCTATGATGTTAATAGAAGGGATTTGCTTTGGGTTGTTGGCTAATAAGCCACACAAGATATGATTTAGGACAATGCTGAATCCGCCCTACTGAAAAAACCAGCACAGACCAGTTTGTAAGCTGGTTTTTGCTGGTTTACGCTGGTCTAGTGCTGGTCTAGCGCTGATTTAACCAGTCACCCAGTGTGCATCCAAACACTACATGTGCTGGTTTTGCTGGTGAACAGCGATGCTGGTCTGTGGTTTTTCTGGCAGGGTTGGAGATTGGTAGATTAACCTAAACCTGTACTCACTTTTAAGTACAGTTGCTTGACTGAAATAATGGCTGCAGTAGAACATTATTACAGTAGTCCAACATTATAGGAATTTAGTTTGTTTGGTTCTTTTTGGATCATTTTGGGCTAAAGCTCCAAAGTGAGAGGAGTGATACAGTAACAGTAAAGCAGAACAGGAGCTGAACCAGCACAACAGACTGAAATTAAACCCTTTAAATAATGATTAAAGAACAGAGTAAAAAGTTCGATAATTTAATGTGCATTTAAAAATATTCGCCCTGCTGGAAAAAAACAGCACAGACCTGCACAAAGTGCATACTAGTCTAAGCTGGTCTATGATGGTTTATGCTGGTTTAGCTGGTCACCCAGTAAGGTCATACTGGTTGACCTGGTCCATGCTCAGTACTGAGAAGTGTAAATTCATCATATTTTATTTGTAAATGAAGCTACTAATTACTGCCCACCTCAGTGAATGCACCGCATAGTTTTATATAGCATTTTAAAGTTGTCTCTTTAACATCTGATTTTATTTATCAGTCCTTTTGGAAGAGAAAATTGGAGTAATCTGTGGAGTAATAAAACCATTTAGAGACTCTCAGTAGCCACTTAACATGTGGCCTAATAATCCGTTAATAATCTGACTAACTGCTTAATCGGAATAGAATATGTCCATGTAAACACCTCAAACGGACTAGACTAGTCCAATTGAGGCCATTCGGAATACAGTTTCTATCCGAGTGAACGAGGTGGGTAATCCTGTAAATAATCTGTTATAGAAATATAGAAATATAAAAACCATATAAACGCCTGTATCTGATTACATTCCCTATCTGAAAGTTTAAGTCCGTTCTGATCATGTTCGTCGCGTCATAGTAAAAGGTTATAATGTTCAACACGGCGGAGCAGAAACTGGTCTGCAGAGGGGACGAAGTTTATGCTCTGATCTTTAAAAGACGGCGGTGGGACGGACGTCCAGCTTATGTGTCTCAGAACACGCCGTCTTCCTCTCGGCCTTCTTTAATAAGGACATGTGAAGGACGTTTTCCTGAGTCTGACATCATTTTAAAGGAATTAAAAACACAAGCACTGCCCACTGCTGCTCATCTCCCTCTGACTGGACTCACGTGATGCTCGTTGTCATGGTAACGTTTACACTAAGTGGTTCTCTACGCTTGCACGTTATTCTGGATCTGATTACTTGTAGTGAGCATTTAAACAGAGATTTTCATCAGATTGTTGAGTAGAGTGAGAATAAACACCTCAGTCTTCATAATCATGATGTATTCAATCAGATTGGCAAAAATCTTTGCATGTAAACACAGTCAGTGACAAAATAAATGAGGTAATAAATGTGCTTATAAGCCTGAATATTTCACTCATGCAACTCAATGCATGCCTGTTCTTTAGTGTGAGTGTGGTCCTGGAAAGTGATGAACTTCAAATGTATTTACGGAAACTGAACAGCCTGTTTTGGGGGGAGGTAAAACATGATAATATTGGTTAATGATGTCATAAAACCACAGGAGTTTTAAAGGCTGGGCAAAAGTAATTACGTTTTAATGGATGATTAACAAGAATTTAGTCTTTTATGATGTGGCACGATGAATTGTGCGTATTATTGTGGCATTAGTGCACGCTTTTGGTTGCATGTTCACATTAATGTTTACAGGTTATACAATCCTGATTAATTACCCCAGATGGGATTCTGTGGCCGAGGACGGCCGTGCTAGAGGTGTAAAGAGCCTGCTTCCCTCTTTGAAATAAGAGCGATTTTACTCCGGCTGCTGAGTCAAATAAAGCTGGGCGTGAAGGTCGAGTTGTCTGTGTTTCCTCTGTGAGCACCCTACGCTACAATAGGAGCAGATACATGAACTGAGTAAAAGAACAAGAAAGTTTTCAATGTTTTCAGTTTCATGACACAAATGTAAATGGAAAATGAAGGAAGACCGTATGTGGGGAACTTGGAGGATAATGAGAAAAAAATTGATTCCAAGTGATTCTGTAGCATTTCTACTGATCCATTCATCATCAAATTTTAACTCAATGTAAAGAAAAGCTGGTAATCTCAAATTAGTTCAAAACTGAAAAACAAAACAAACAAAAAAAAAACCACACACAGAATATCACAATATATATGTGTGTGTGTGTGTGTGTGTGTGTGTGTATATATCACTGCTGGTAACTTTATATAGGACCAGACTTTTTTCCAATTAATTTTGGGCCATTTTTTTTGGTCCATACATTTTTCACACTATGACAAAATGGCTTTGTTCTGACAACAGCAATATATATTTTTGTATATATATATATATATATATATATATATTTTTTTTTATTCAGGTTTTGACATAATTTGAAAATGTGTATTGCCCTTTATATTGTATGTAAATTTCATGATGAATGGACTAAAAGAATGGCCCAAAATTACTTGGAAAAAAGTCTGGTTCCATTGACTTACATTAAAAGTAAAGTATGTTTTTCCTTCTCCTGTAAAGTTTCTATTTTGGAGATACAAGGTTTTCTTCCAACAACAGCAATATATATATATATATATATATATATATATATATATATATATATATATATATATATATATATATTCTAGATTAACACAATTTTTCTGAAGCGTCCTAAGTAGCCATAAGCTGTCATGATCTTACTCAAATGTCACTATAACAGTTTATCATTTAACATTACAGCTGTGTTACAACCTGTGTCCTAAAATCGACCCTCCTAAATGCTGCCTGCAGCAGATCTCCTCTTCACTGATAAGAAAAAGCTTTCATGAATCAGCTGATATGAAATAAACAGATCTTGTCTCAGGACTGTACTAGGCAGCGCGTGTTAGAGCAACATGACCACACTTGAACTGAGCCGTGGTTTTAATGCAACAAATAAAGGATTTCTTAATGAACCTGGTGAACTGAGGGTGGCGGCTTCAGCATGACGCAGGGCTGAGAAACTTCAGCTGTTGGTAAAGCTAAAAAAAGGATTCCAGCTAGTAGAGCAAAGAGTGACAAGCCAGCTAATGTGCCTGATTTCCAGAAAAGCACTCCTTGTGCTGTGTTATTCACTCAAGACTGCTCTGTTCTGTCAGGACTGGGTAACGTGACGTAGGAGGGGTTTAAATGCTTTTCTCAGGAAATAAGGCACATAACTTAGCTTTCAAGTCATTTTTACTCTCTTAGTTTTTCATAGAAGTCTCTGCTTTAAAACTTACAGTATTCTGAACTGTTTTAAATGCCCACTATGGTTGTCTGAGTGAAACGATGCGTACAGCGTTGTCATAAAAGAACTTAAAGGGCCAACATCCTGTGTTTTTCTTGCATTTCCCAACCCCTCTTTATTCCTTAGAATTAAACATTGTTGTTGTACCTTTATGGCTGCTATATGTAAATGACCTCTGCTCTGATTGGCCCTGAATTGTGCTTCATTCAAAAAGCAATGCAGACTACAGCGTAGCCCCCTTGTAGT